ACTATCGACCGATTACTCTGTTACAGGCCGGTTACAAAGTCTTTGCAAAAGTCATTGTGCATCGGGTCCAAGTATCTCTTTCTCGGCTTACTGGCGACTCTCAACATGGATTTGTCCGCGTTCGACGAATGGCCAGATCAGTGATGATGATGATGATTATGATGGTGGCTCAATTGACGACAGCTAGCAATTAGGACGATGTGGACACGGCTAAGATCATATGTATCGTGCTGTTAGACTTTCGGAAGACCTGTGGTACCATGGACAGAGAATTTATGTTCTCCGCACGTAGGCGGTTTGGGTACGATATGAGCTTCATCAACTTTATCCGGCGGATCCATACCAGCACGATGAATAGGTTTGTCGTCTACGGAATCATTGGTCGCCCATCCCAGTGAGGTAAGAATTTCTACAAGGCTGTCCGCTCGCACCTCTCCTACTTTTATTGGTGGTGGAAATTATGGGCCTTGCGTTACAGCAGGACCCACATCTCCGTGGCTTACCTATCTCCGAGCAGTCTAGCCAGATCACCTATTTTGGCCTTTGTTGATAACCCCAATCTTTTTCTCGAGACGGCCGACCAGTTCTCGCACGCTATCCGGCTCATACGCGTCTTTCGGGATATGTCCGGTCTACGGGTGCAACTGGCGAAGAGCCAGTTGATCCTTTTCAATGGGTATCGTTCTCTAGCGCAGTACGAAGGAATTACAGGCTTTCCTAAGGGGCAACAGACCCGCTACCATGGCTACTAGATTGGAACAGGGGGATTATTATCCCGGAACTAAGCATAAACTATATAAAGATTTAGCGACATCTCCTTACTTCAACAAGGGTGATGACCACCCTAGTCAATTGGGTGTTGATTCTCACTCCATCGCACTTCCCTTGATTTGTTTTACAGCCATCGTCGTTGAACTGCCACTTTTTGGGCGGAGAAGAAGCTGCAAAATTTATACAAGCAGTTCCTGAGGTCACATGCAACGACGACCGAAACCAGTCGTCACAATTTAACCCCGGGCTACTCGTGACTTCGACTCATGCGGGCGGTATCGGACTAGTGGACGTGGAGGTGTCGGCCAATACACAGCGGATCAAACATGCGGTAAATTGGCTGATCCAAAAACAGGATATATTTTCTGTGGCCTGGTGGACATGGGTTATCGCGGGGGGGGGGGGCTGGAGCTCCAGCAGCGCTATTATCTCCGGCTCTTATTCAACGGCGAGCAACACCTCACCAAAAAACAAGTCCGGGTACGCGCTTGCAGCAAGAGCTCGGGGAACGGATGGCACTAAGCTTGGACCAGGTTGTCCAAAACACCACATTGGTCGCCCAGCACTCGGACGCCTTACTAGCCGATGCCACGAGCAAATGGACGGATGAAGGGTTCGTGCTGACGTATCAAGAAAGCTTTTCGACCCTTCCGCTAGGGGACGATGAAATACCGGCAGAAATCAAACGATTTTGGTGCACTCATAACTGGAATGCCAACCCGTGAATTCGTGACCGACGCGGCAACATGCGGTTGACCAGCACATACACTCGTATCGCGAACTGTACTCTAGCAGTACTACACATAGAGAGTGTCGGTTCATCGGCGTTTATTCTTCACATACCTCGGCCCATGACACAAGCGATGCACCACTCAGAGGCTGAATCACACAGATAATTCACAGCTATCTTGATCTCTACTTTCGCTACCCTGTCGGTACTACATCTTCGACTAGCCAGCCTTTACGCCTCCGTCCATCCTCCGCCCCCAAGGATTTGCACACTGGAGGTTTTGCAGCCCGGGCGTCATTGATGGGCGGCTGTCAGACAATACGCCGGGATCCTTGCCGGACGTAACGCTGCTGTAAGACGAGTATGGACTACACTGGTTCTGGCAAGGACCACTTCCATATCTAGGACTCAGTTCCGTCATGGACCAGCGGACATTGCATACCGCTATAAGCGAATATAGAGGCGCACCCGCTGCTTTGCCGCTTTCCGTGGTCCTTCCCCGACGACAAGCCTTAGTGGCTCAGGTTTTCCAGTCTTGTCGAAAGGTCTTTGCTTGGCCACTGCTGGCGTTCTTCGATCGGCTAGCGGCGAAGGCAGACAACGACGGGTGGTAACGCGCTGCTCTCTGTCATACGCCAAGGCAAGCGTGCGATCATAGTAACGGCCTCTCTAACTATCAGATCCGGACAGGGTATCGAATAGCGGTTGGACTGCTCAACCCGTATATTCTGGGCGTCATGCTGACAACAGTTGCCGGAGTGCTCCAATGTGTCGAAGTCGTGAGAAGACCATGAAGGATCTCTTTTGCGATTGTCCGAGTGCCGCAGCTCTCTGGGACAAACTTTCGTGCATTGGACTGGGGAGCGAGCATACCGACAACGCACACACCAGTGTTTTGAGGCGTGCGCCAGTCGCCGAGTAGGCGGTTCACCTTTGCACTGACATAGGATTCTAGCCGATCATTTTCAGGATGATGTTGCGCGGGCTACACGTGTTTGTATAATCATCAGGCATCCACGCTCTGCCTTGTGTCAAATCAAGATCTGGACGGACAGCACTGACGTTGTCTTCCAAAAGAAGACTTTGAATCTGAGAGAGAATACCGCCAGCTTTTGGGCTGCGTGCTTACGGCACTTACGGGCTATCGCGATACGAGAGCATAGCAAGGTTGAGACTGCAATACCGGTAGCTATGCTCAATGCATGCATCGAATTGCTCGAGCGCAACCATCACGTTTCTACATGATGACAGCCACAGTCTGCCTCCGGAGCACCCTCTGGGGATTATAAACTGGCTAAGGGCTTGACAGAGATCTAGCACATAGATGATTAATCGTGTCAATGTACTATTTGATTCCTCCTGCTAATGGTAAGGGGGTGGTGTAACAGGATTGCCTTTTACCTATCATTGATTCGAATTGTGTCTATATAAACATATTTACCTAAAAAAAATTTCTTGTGACAATAGTATTCTTTCGAGTTTAATATTGTAGGAATATTACTTTTATCGGTCATATTTGGCACCACTTCACAATTGATTGATATTGGCCATATCATCAACCGAAGAGCCCACCAATCGCTTTTAGACGCGCGCAATGGATGATGTTTGACATATTTTGTATGTATGGTGTGTAGTATACCATAGTGTAAGTAATACAAAGATGGTCTACTAACGGGGCGTTGTTAAACTTATTTTACAGATTTAGTTTTCTTTCTTAGACTCAAGCGTTGATCGAATTCTCTTCTTTTCTCTGCACGTAAGGTGCAGTGTAGTTCTGGGAGCGACACCATTGTACTGTTGAGGTGCAAGGGCTTACCATTATCTAGTACGAATTGTACCCCAGTACATGACCGCTTTAAACTGCGTGCTGGACAAGAGTGTATCGCGAATCTTGAAGCTGCTGCTGCGTAAGTGACACACTCTCTCTTAGTTGGACTAGTAAAGGACATTCTACAGCTCGCAATCTCTCGCACACATGCAAGTAACGCTCCTATCAAATCGACGTTTGTCAGGCTGTTTTCACGCGACGCTGGCGCCAAGTGAAGCGTTAATGTTCGCTCGTATACTCTTTATACGTTTAGTCCAGCTGCGGCATCCCTGTCGTTACCTGAAATCAATAAACGAGGAGGCTGTGTGAGGTAATCGTTATTCGTTATGAGACAGTATGAATGCTTGCATACGGAGGGCATGCAGCGTAAGATTACGGCAGCAGTCGAGGAGCAAGTGCTGTGTCTGTGATGAGCTACATTATGGCATATAAAGCTGGAGGGATTCATGTACAAGCAGAAGCTATGAAGATCGATAATCGATGTAGGCAGGAAAACCCTTAAAGCCATCTGGCTGTTGCTTCTATGTAGTGTAGCGAGTCAGCATCGGCATCCTAGAAGCAATTTACTGTACGTCACCTGAGTATGGAATACTCTTTATATCGCAAGGAATATACGCAGGACCGGTCGGATGCAGATCGGGCGTTGGCATTGGGCATGGCTCGGCTGTCTGCTGGGATGGCAGTAGCATTTCCAATGCACAGCACTTCATGACAGATTGGCCTACGTCAGTCAACAAACAGTGTATTGTCAGTTGCTGTCGAACATTATCTATTAGCGGTAATATTCGGTACATCCACACACATCGGATTATATTGCTAAGAATTATCTGCCACGATTGAATTTACATGGATATTCAAATAATGTCACTGCCATGTGTCGGGGTTACCCATCTCGCGACGCTTGTCTTTTGCACTTGAACAAACATATTGTTGCAGATCGAGTCAAAGTCGTCAGCACCATCGATATGCAATACATCGATGTGAGCAGGTCGCATGCAACGTAGCCAGGTGTTGCTTTTGTCGACGGACGCTGCTGCTGCACAGTGTCGTGCCTCCAGCTTTACGCTTCTCAAAGAGCAACATATTGACGCTGGTAGCGTAAGAGCACAACGAAGAAGTTCGACGGCATTGTTTGAGCTTTTCCTGTGTAGCAACTTTCGCATAAAGGTCGCGTTTCTGTCGCGACGTCCAGGAAACGGTAACTGTAACTGGTGAACCTCGTAACAATGCATTTGGCAAATAGATTTGGACTTCAAAACCCCATCAGAACGCATCGTCCGATTTGCTCGGAACTATCGACGCAGACAAAAGCACTGTAACTGCAACGTAGCATCCAGATTCTACACTGTAGCTTCTCCTACAGCAGCTTAATGCGCACAGCCCTCCAGGGCGTTCGTACAATGACCAAATAAATGCCCCTGTGTGCTCCAAGGTCAACCCATTGAACACGCATCTGCGCCGCGGGTGGCACAACTTTTCTTCGATCTTCGAGCCATCCGTCCAGCGATCGATATCAACGGAGAGTTAGTCAGCAGCGACTCCTGCACCGAACGATTCGAGTCGAACAGTAGCCAAATCGAAAAGCCTTTGGCTGTTCAAAATTGTTGTTTTTTTCGTATCCGGCGAGGACCGGATCAGTGTTGGACGCACCGTAAAAAACGCAGTGTGCTCTCACTTCGCAAACGTTTTGCTTCGCACCGAAAAAATGACGAGCAAAGGATGCCCGTCGAGGTGCACGCGCATGGAGTCGTTGTATAGCGGTACGCGGTACTTGACTTCACCGCCCTCTTCCTGACGAGCGATACGCTTCAGCGAGAGCGTGCAGTGGCCGTTGATCGATTCGTTTCTCACCCATACCAGCATATGCAGCTGCTCCAGCGGTCGAGCGTGCTGTATTACTGCGTTCAGCGACAGATTCAGACCGTTGAAGCCTTGACACCGCTCACCGATGACATCGCACTGCCTTGCATCCTCTCCGACCAGTGGCGCAACGATGCGCGTCTTCTTTGGCACCACCACGTTGCCATTCCAGCTAAGTTCCATGTTAAATACCCGCAAAACCGTCGATACAGGACGTTTCTGTGCTTTCATCTGTCGAACGACGCGGGCTTGGTCAAAATAGCTGCCACCCACCGAGTTCGAGAACCTGTCCCCGGCAGTTGTGCCAACCGTGGAAAGGGACCGCGAGCTGCGATGTGCCAGTTGTCGCGGAGACCCTGATGTCAATGCATCCTTGTCGTGACGCGGGAAACTTAGCACAAACGTGCCGTACACAGGGCTGTGGTCGCTAACGTCCATTCCATCACCATGGTTCACGGAACGGTAGTTGTCGATAAACCGCAAGGAGGAATCTGGAGAAGTCGGGTCTGGCACCTTTTCTGGAACCAACTTTGAGTCGCTGACGAGGAGCGAGTGAATCAGGATGCGATCGCACCATCCAGGCACACGTTTTTTCACCTTACCACCCTTGTAAAATGGCTCCTTGTACAACACACGCCACACGAGTGATGGCCATAACGGCAGCTTCTCATTCACAGGGCCGCGCTTTGGAAACTTCTTGTACGTCGGGTAGAAGTCCGGAAATTTGTGCGGCTCGGTGAAACCCTCAAAGACGCCACCATTGCGGCGGTCATTCAGCAGACCGTCGAACTTGTCGTGCAGCTCCAGATTGCGACCCTCTTCGAGCATGTGGAGAACCATCTGCGGATCCAACAACACGATGCGGTAGTTCATATCGCCCATCCATACCACGTGGTGGAACTGCTCCGTGAGGTCAAAGCTGTAATGACCCATTACACGACCAAGACTGGCATTCAAGTTCCGAATCTGTTCGCGGCGGTACGTATCATTCCGCGCGTCCAAATGGCAATTCACAAACACAATGGTCGTGTGGTTGATCCTGAGCGCTACAGCAACACCGCCCTTTGACCCGCTTGTGAGCTTGAACTTGTGCGCACCTGCTCGAATCAGCTTGATCTTCTCCTCGACATCGGCGCAATAGAAAACAGCCATACCCGTAAATTTGGTACCGACAAAGGCTCCATCGCCACGACCGTGCACAGCATCGATAATTGCGTCGGGAGGCTGGTTCTTGTGGTTCACCATAAAGTTGCCGTTTTTGAGCTCCATGCGGTAATAGCGGCTTCCGTGCTCGTTGCGGTTCAAATACGCCTCCACGGCGTGGTAGACGTTTTCCGACACGCCTTCTTGCACTCCAAGCACATACAGCTGGTAGCCATGCGGCAAGAAGTTTTGCAGCATTGCTGCAGAGCGCTGCTCATCAATGATGCCTTTTCCATCATCAAATGGGTCTGCTGCACCCATGTTCCACGTCCCCACCCACATCCGTACATCTCGCTCATTGATTCGTTCTCCTGGGCTCAATGATGGCGGTGCTGTCGCCCCAGCAGAGAAGCTACTCGTCCGGAGTCCTGCCTCAAAGTACGAACGTGGTGACGTAATGCGACCCCCTGTCTCGTCGAAACTTCTGTCCAAAGTGTGATCGACAGACGACGAGCTTTGTTGATCGACGACAGTTGGAGGTATTTGCAGCTCCTGGAGTACAGCATGATGCGGTCTCGTGCCAGCAACGACTTCGTTCGTTTTGGAGCTCGTGCGCTGGAACGAGTCGCTCTTGAGGGTAGCTTCATGCGCTCTCGGCGTGACTGACGCCGACGAGGCCATTTTTCCACTCTCGTTGCCACCGTTAGTAGTGCAAAATGCAACGGCAACGGCAGAAGGAGGTGACGTGCGTAGCTTCTCAAGTAGAAACTCGGGCTGCTCGAGATCGGACAGATTGTTACAGCTGAAGCTACTCTTGACATTGTTCGTTCCGTTCCAGTATCCCGAGCGCAGGTTGCCTGCAGTTCCCGTCGTGCCAGCGGCTGTTGCCAAACGTCTGGTGCGCGTACGATGGGATGCTGCTGCAGCTTCTGCCACCGTCAGTCCCATCGCCTCGAAGCCGTTTGCACAGCTCTGCGACTTATTCAGTCCTCTTCGTCGCCGGCTCATGTCAACAGACGCGTTTCCTCCGTCTACCTCGACGCCCCCGGAAGTCGGCAGGACGCCACTGGCAAGCAACTGCAGAGCTCCTTTGCCGTTTTTGAGATGGAAATTCTCAAGCTCGAGCTCCTGGACTCGTCGACTCAGTCGCGCTGCGGCATCAGCCCACTCCCCAGAGCCTCGTCGAGGCGTTGCAACTCTCTGTTCCTGTCGCGACCCGACAGTGCGTCGTCTTTCCAGTGCTACTTCCCGTCCAGCAATACCGGCACTGCGTGGGGGGAGACCCCACGCAGCGGACCGGGGACTGGTCGTGACGCCGCTACTGCTGCTGCCGCTGCTACTGTCACTGCTGCTGTCAATCGTCTGCGTACAGCCAGTGGTCCGCGGTCCAGCAGACGACGCTTGTGTCACGCGCAGCAGCGAAGCAGGGGACGTGGGCGGCACAGGAGGAGGTATCAGCATTGCCAGAGCGTCTGGAGCGACGCGGGGATCCGCTATCGACGACGCGAGTCTCCGCACGTCGAGCGTCTTGGCCGACAAGAGCACTTTCTGGAGCTCGTGGAGCGTCTCGGGGTCCTCTAGCTGGGAGAACGCGCGCGTGACGCGCACTCGTGGCGCCCGCGCGGTGGCTTTGTCCAGCTGACGGTGGGCCATAACGGCGTGTGCTGCGATTGAAGACTGTTGCGACGGAAGGTGGGACGCTCGAGCGGCAGAGGCCGCGGGGTGAGTGTGGGCACAATGTCGCAGAGGAGAGCGAGCGAGCGAGCGAGGCGGGCGAGAGAGAAGAGAGAGAGAGAGAGAGAGAGAGGAAGAGACGTGGCGCGTACGCGACTCGCCCGAGAAACGGTCGCTGGGAATTCTTTCGTCTTGTAGTGTGTGTGTGAGCTGAACGCTATTGGGATCGATCGAGTTGGAAAGTAGTGGTGTCGTAGGCGAAGGAGAAGTGATTGATATGGATTCTCCTTGACAAAACGTGTGCACATATCGCGGATCTATACAGCGCGACGCGATGGCGACTACTGAATACCGGTGTCCTTCCATCGTGCGAGGCAGTCAGTGAAAGGGCTTTTCTTTTTGTCGGTGACTGACTTACCGACTGAAAAATGTGTGCGCATGCGAGAGAGAGCGAGCGCGCATGTCGTCACGGAACTCGAGAATCAGACAAGCAAAAAGTGTCTCGTTTCTTCTCTTTTTCGCATGACGGAAACAAACGTCCGATCGACTGACCCGAACTTGTGTGTGTGTGCGGTCTGCAAAGATGCAGACATACTTGCGAAACAGCCACGTCCCGTCTGTCGATTGCTCGAGTATTACATGACGTGCTATTGGCCACACGTGACGACGAGTCGTTATTGCAGATTGTGCAACGACCTTTTGGGCCGAGGACAGTCGTTCGTCGGAAGTGCTGAAGCGTTGAACAGTACCACGTTTTCGCATGGCCACCGTTGCAAGTTCAACCGACGTTATTCACGCAGCTACTTCAACAACCGTACGACTCGGCTGTGGGCAGCTTCGGTCGCGTAGCCTGCAGAACGTCAGCGCCGGCTGCGTTTATTGTCGACAACTGGGCCGAATGTAAACTTTGGTGCAGCAAGTGGGGCTGACAGGTCGTCGCGCCATCGCTGTGCCGCGACGACCTTTTACCGCAACTCAAGAAATGGGTCAAGTGTCCGAGCAACGGATGTGCCACAGCTGACGTAACAGCTCTCAGTACAATTGGCACAAACTCTACCGGTATCATACCCGCACGCCCCTCAGTAACCTCGCCCCTAAACATCCATCCACGCCAATCTAAGTCGGACGTCGCGTTTCTATTTGCGAGTGTCGGTAAGTTGCCGTCCATGGCCGTCGGCGATGGACGCATGGACGCGCTCGTGCTCAAGCTGCGCCACCCCCTGCCCAAGATCCGCTCCCGTGCGCTGCGCAGTCTATTGTTCAAGCTGCGGGAGCGTCTAGTGTGCTGGCACGAGCTGGAGCCGCTGCAGACGGCGCTCGTCCCGAGTCTCCTAACGTGCCTCGAGCCGCCGCTGGAGCTCGACGCTCTGCACGTGCTGCAACTGCTGATGGCGCAAAGCCAATCCGACGTGCTTTTGTCGAGTTTGCATCACTGTGGGGCGGCACAGACGCTCCAACGAGCCGCTCATGCGACTCCCGAGCTACGGGCGACGTACGAGCAGGTCAGTAGGCTGTGCATGTCGTACAACGAGGAATGTGACTGATTATTCAGCGCGTGCACTGTTGTGCGTCGATGCTGCTTGAATCAGTTATTGCGACAGATTTATGCTTCTCCAGTGGTGTCGAAAGACGACAAGAAAGCGGTGTGCAGTCGATCGGACGAGGAAAACGAGCACATTGCTGCTTCGTTGAGAGCATCGAAGACGAAGAACGCGCTGTCTGAGGTACGCAGCGCTCTGAAAGTGGACAAACTGGAGGCACGGGGATGGAGGTTTGCGCAGGTGACGCTGCTGTCAGTTGATGAGCAGTATCTGTTTGAGTTTGAGGTGAAGCTTCAGCTCAAGACAAAAGTACAAGACATTGTGGTGGCGTGTGCAACGCTTCGGAACAAGTTGCTACGCGACTTTCCAGCCGAGTTGTTTCTACAGAGACCGACTGTGCTGCAGTACTTGTTGCAGCTTGTGCAGCAGCCGGTATTGCCGTGTGGGCTGGAATCGACGAGCGAGCAGGACAAGGACCGAAATGTTGCGATGGAAAAAGCAATGTATGTGTCAATGGGAGTGAACTACTTTGATGACATGTCGAGCGCGACGTTTGCAAACACACAAGGGAACGTAGCGGGTGCTGTGGTGATGGCAAGCCTCAAAGCGATCGAGTCGCTGTTGTACGCGCTGCAGCTCACACGGAGAGTGTGTCTCGACCCTACGTACATCGTGCATGCACCTGCCGTCCATGTACCGCTTTTTGACTCGTATGACATACGACGAGTGCTGTATCCGCGTGCAAGGGTAGAACTTGATGAAAATGCAGTGAAGCAACGATTCGATGACTGTGCCAGTCAACTGCCGAAGTACTCGTTAAGTGGGGCAGTGTATCGGATATTTATGAGTGTGTTGCCATTGATGCGCTCCGCGAGATACCCACGACAGCACTTGTTGAATCTCCTCATCGTGGCACTACCAAGTTTGCCAGAAAAAAGCCGAGACGCACAGGAGCTGGATAAGTCGCGGCTTGAGTGCATTTTCGCGATACTCTGCAGCGTCTGCCGACCTTCACGACCGGAGCAAGCACTGGACGACATGGTCGACGACGATCTTGAGCTTACGCACTCGATGACATGGAAACTCGTGGAGCTTGTCCTTCGATTGCTTCGATTGTTCCCACCATCGATGTACCGTGTTGAGGCAGCTTGTGGTAGAAGTAATGGTTCTACCATGGCGGATAAAAGTAGTAGCATAATCGTTCCACGACAGCTGTGGGAGACCGTGAAGTCATGGACTGCTAACCCAGCCTTGCGTGATGTATCTGCGAGAGAGTGGAAAGACGAGTCACTCGTTCAAAATCTTTCGAAGATTGGCAGCACGATCGCCACATTCGTCGATCAGAGGCAATCATCTGCACAAGACGCAAAGTCAATCCTTGCTTTTGTTGCATTTGCGAAACATGATCGTGAGCAATTGGCAGATGTTGGCTCTCGGGCGAAACCAGTCGCTGCGGCCCTAACTATTGCGAAGAAAGTTGTTCAAGCCAAGTGCGTCTTTGATGACTCCGGTACTGAAGCTATCGCATATGCCGTGCTCCAAACGATCTGGTCAGCTCTGGCTGAAGACGCAGCGGACAAGACGAGTACGATTACCGAAAGTAACATGGAATGTATTCACTTCATCTTTTGTGATATGATAAGTGCATTGGGCGTGATGGAAACACCGGCAGTAGATACATCGATGTCTGTCCATTTTTTTCGAGGCTTCCTGGATCTTCTGGATAAGCTCGACACTGACACTTGCCGTGTATCCGCCGATTGCTGGCACCAATTCGTTACCCATGTGATAGCTGAGCCTGGATTTCTTGTGCTCTTGCTATTGGTACTTGCGCGACGAGACGTTAGTCCTAGCGACAAGCACAGCGCGGCGGTGTTGTGGGGGATGTTACGAATAACTTTGACGCAACTCGCAAACGTTTCGAGCGAAGAGCTAGGACTGCTCGAACCTGTGATGCCACTGATCCAACACTTTGCATACACTGAGCTATCAGGAGAGTCTTGCCGAGAGCTACGTTTGACTCAGCCGGAACTTGTGCAAGTCTTGAATCGAGTGGAAACCGCCGTATCCGATCACTCGAGGATGCTTTCAGTTTGCCGCTGCTTGCTCCATCAGTCGTCATATGTTCGGAGAGCAGCTTCCTCGAGAGTCATCCGGCTGTTGTCCCTTGCGACCTCGGCGGACACTAACAACGTCTCAAACGACAAAGCCATACGTGACGACCCGTTCGGCGGCGGGGTCACTCGTGACGGCAAAACGGTGAACTTCGATGTGATACTTATGGAGACCCCCTTGCCTGTCGTTCGTGCAAGTGAATGTCGACCTCACGGAAGCGAGTTGTCGTCGCAGCTGAGCAAGTTGGCTCACTTGTGCACAGTGGTTTCCGGTTCATCGGTAGCGAATGATGAGACCATGAGAGAGGCGGCGCTGAACGAGTTGGTGATGTTCATCGAGCAATCATCGGTGGAGTTATTCACGCTACTTGAAGAGCTGGACAAGCTGTCCGATCTCCTTGATCTGCTTCGTTCTCTTTTGCAAGCGGACGATGATCGGAATGACTCATCAATGGTTCATCGAGCCCTTGTCTTGTTCAGGACGATGCTGTTACGTAGCCGATCACTGCGTGCAGCTATAAGACTTGATGGCGATATGGTCGAACTCATAATGCCGCTGATATTCCACCCCTCTGTTTCGGTTCGAGTGCAAATGTACTACGTCCTTCTTTTGCTCACGTGCTCGGCTGAGAATTTTGTGCCTGCTAAGGTGTCAATCGAGTCCTCTAGTGATCTCGAACTTGGACTCATTGGTGAAGCAAGGATTCCTGAGATGATCAAAACAACGTTTGGATTGTATTCTAGTCGTTGGGCGCGATGCCTTGTCGTTACTTGCTCGCTGAAACAGCAATTGCAGGTAAGCTGTGCACAGCTGACCAAGCAAACGGAAGCATCGTGGTTGCAGGAAGTAAAAGCCCTCATCAGTCAGGCATCATGTCGTGGCGACGGACTTGACGTAAAGCACGACACGAGCGGCGAGTGTGTGTTTGCTTTATTCGATGCAGAGTACACATTCGTTGCCCGGAGATTTCGAGATGCCTCGTCCCACGGAAAATGCCTGAATGCACTTTACCACCTGATGACGATATGTGAGGCTTGGTCTTTTGCACGTGAACGCTTTGTCAGAGAATGGGAACTAGAATTTGAACGGTATTTCGCGGTACCTCCGAAGAGTGAACGAGACGAGATGATCATTGGCTCCGTTGTGGCCGCTATGAGTGCGATGTTCTTTGCCATGACTAGAGGAGAGCAGTTGCGAGCTCTCGTCGTGATAAAGCGCAAGGTGCTTCCACTGCTGGAAAGATCTCAGAGCAAGATATTCTCCCTTCAGGTGGCGCGGTTGTTGCTCAATGTAAGCGAGTCCAAGGTCGGTGATTTGTTTTTGTCCTTGGCTGCTGATACCGACATTATTGCGACGATCTGCACCAAGTACTCAGCAATTTATTCGACAGAGCCCGTGTTGCACGGTCTGATGCTAGATGTGCTGTCACGGTTTGCCAAAGGCTTGAGCGAGAATGCAGACACTCGTTTGTCATCACCTTCGCGTGACAAAATCTGCAAGCGTTTGCTCGAGATGCTGTCACCGTTGCTCACAGTTGTGTGTCGCCATCGCGTTCCTGGTTCCTTCCTCGAACGTGATATTTTTGTTGTTGGGTCTCAGTGTATTGCAAGCATTTTGCTGCTACTTCCGCGTACTTCCCTTCTGACAAGTGATTGCCATCTGGAGCACATCGATAGCAATGCCCTTGTCGATGGTAGCTGGGCGTCTCGTTATCTGTTTGACCATTCATCGCCAATTCGAGAGCTCGGTTTCCTCGTTCTCGAACACACCTCCTCTTTCGACTTCTCTGCGACTCGTTTGCTAGAGAGGGCTTTCGAGACATCCACCGACGACACCGAGGCGGATGCTGTTCGTGCTGCGGCGTGCACAGCTTTGACGAAAGCGATTGCACGGTCCCTCGAGCTTCCCCCTGGCCAAGAAGTGGTGATGCCAGAGGCCCTGAACGGAACTGCGTTCTCGCGAACAGCACTACGCTCACTCTCGCACATGTTGGAAGGCAGCAAATTCTGTCCTCGCGCTTCCAGCGCGTTCGCACGGCTGGTTCGACTGCTTTATGTACAACAAAGCAGCTTGGCGTTGATTCTCGGGGATATGCAGAAAGAGCTGCAAGCGGCCAAAGAAGAATGCCATCTATATACGCTTCTGGTGCAGGTACGAGCGCAGGACATAGGGACCTCATGCTCAGTCGTTCTTGCCACTACTGATCTGCTTACTGGTTGTTTTCATAGGCGCTGTCTCTCCGCGACTGGAAAGACAAGTGCAATCGTTACTGTTCATGTTGTATGCTTCTACCCAGCTGTGATGTGGATGCATGGAAACGTTCGTTGCTCCCGGCCATCTTGGATCTGATGTTTGAAGTGCTGAATCTCCTCCAGGCTGTCTGCCGTGATGCTGATAATGATCTCGTGGCTTTTCTCTTCATGGTACGTTGTCCACTTTCCCTAGCGCATTGCCGCGACAACTTTAACTTCTTGTTGTGACGCGGTAGCACACAAATGTACAGAACCAACTCATCGAGCTAGTACAAGATATTTATGCTTCTCTTGACGACAGCTCTTCAGCGTCAATGAGGCAAAGCCACTACGAGATCCTTAGCCTTTGCGCGGGTACACTGGGTATTCTTTCGGCGCAAGTTCTTGACCAGCCCAGTGATTGCGCAGTAGAGCAGTGTCGAGCACCAGTAGCGCCTGGAGTTGGCGCAGGGTTTGCAGATGTGGTGGCGAAACTGCTAGATCCACGTCACCCCGTTGGTTTTCGGGCATCATTTTCTCGGGTCGTGCCGTGTGTAAGTACCGTGTTTGTCTTGGCAGGACGTTTTCGTACTGGTTATGCCCACCACAACTTGTCTTGTTGTTGCCATCAGATATCGTGGCTCGTGCCCGAGTTGCTGAGAAATTCAGATGCTACTACAATCGCTGCGCTGGGCTTTGTCGTGCTCGACCTTTACCAGGAGGTAGCGGGGCTCAGACCTATGGACGCAAAGGTTGTTGGAGCCGCAATGCCAGAGCCCCAGAGCCATATTTTCTCGCTGTCATCGACCAAGCGCATCTCTTATGCTTTTCAGGTTCTCATCGACGCAAGTCCGAAGCTCAGGGAACTTGGTTGCGTGAAGCATGCCCTGCTTTTTGCAATGTCTTCCATGAAGGAATCTTTTTCCGCGATTCGATCAGCTGGCGGGTTTGATGGCAAGCGAGCTGGAAGCTCTGGCAATCGTGCGAGCACCCACGACGCATACGTGCTTGATCTCTGCGGACGCATTCAAACGCACATCGAGGTAATGAGTGCAATCGTCGGTGGTGACAATGAAAGTCAACAAATCGCAAAGGTATTTGACTGTCGGCTTCGGCAATACGATGCATGTATGATCTTGATGCTGTATTGGATGTCGTGCTTAGGTTGAGGGGCTTCCAAGTGTGGTTCTATCGAATTGGACCACAATGAAAATGGCTCACGCTCGCGGGTCTCAGCTCATGCTGCATGCGCTCTACCTTCTCGCTAACTACGCCTATGGAAACGACACTGCTCGAAGAACAATGCTCATTTCGTTGCAGACCGGGTCTACAAAAGTCTCCGGCAGCGGAGGTACTCAAACGCTGGTATCACTTTTGTTTGGCCTGGCGACCTCCCGGGGTGAGACGGCACACTGTCGTCACCAAATTGCAAGTGGTGCCAACACGACGTCTCCAGCCGATATGGCAGTGAGCAACGCTGCCTGCCTCGTGCTGAAGACTGTTTTGCTCAACATGGAATGCGTCTTGGCATCCCGGAAGACCGGAGCAATATCGAAGCTGATCGATTCGCTTCGAGGCCGACTCAAGCAAGACAGACAAACTAGCAAGACGAATCCCCTCGAGACTCGAAATCTTGCGAACATGCTTGGAGTGCTCAGCAGCGTAGCTGCGAATGAGGAAGGGGCTGGCATGCTTTACTCCAACTGGGCTACTATGCTCTCTTCCTTGTTGGACGACGCAATGCATTCGTTCGATGAGGCAGTGCAGCGCAATGGATGTTTGTTCTTGAGGAATCTTGCTCTTTCCCAAGCGTCTAAAAACCACTTTGCCGTGTGGGAAGAGCTGCTGGATGATATGATTGCCATATGTGCACGTGCAAATCTTCCGGATCAAGTCGACTCGACTGTTGCAGAGTACCTTTCGACTGCGCTCTGGGCACTCGTGTATGACAGCCAGAAAGCCCGTGCAGTGCTGCTATCGCGGCCGATAGCAGTACGAAGTTTGCAACAAGTTCTGGACCCCCAAAGTGCAGGTGCGTGTCCGTCAAATGGGTGCCACGTGTCTCATGATCAGCGTACCAGACTCACCCTTTCGACTGTCGTTGCTTTCCTCTTACCAGCACTAGCTTTGCGGCAATCGCCTGCACAAGGGATTACTGAAAACCTTCGGCGCGTGCTGAAACTCGTGAAGGAGCAGTCAACGACACCACACCAGCATCTCTGATCATCACACGAGTCCGTATTTATTTATCACATACCTGCAATTGCTTGTGATACAAAGAGGCGGCCAGGTCTCGGCGTAGAATCAATAAATAAGAGCATTGATCGCGCGCGCTGTCCGGCCTCGTCCTGTCTCGATCAAGGTAGATCGAAGTCCTGCTCTTCTTCACTGCTGTGGTAATCGGCTTCGTCTTCGTCCTCGGACGAACTGCCACCCTTTTCCAGGCAAACACATGTTGTTCCTCCTGGACTCAGAACACCCTTCAGCGAGCGTGATCCAACCTCTTCCACAAATTCTACAGCCTTTTTCTGTGCAAACAAGCAAGCACAATTCAATCGGATCGCAAACGTCAGCCAGGTAGTGTGACACACAACTCGATGGTTCTGACGTACCTTGGTGAACGCTGCCTTCGGCTTCGCTGTTGCAACCGGGGTAGCCACGGTCGTCAAGCGGCGGACCTTGCCACATTTCATCTCTCCACCACCAGCAACGTGCAAGCGGTTGATGCCCAAGACGTACGAATCAATATCATCACGTCTGCGCGAGCTCAATTTCTTCAGCCGTCCAAGTGACTCGTCCATTTCCGAGTCGTCCTCGTCAAAGCTACACGAGGGTGTCCCCAGCTCAGGTGACTTGATGGAATCGAACTCGGGTAGCTCTGGCAAACCTTCCTTCGACGGGGTCGTCTCAAAGAGATCGTCCACGTGCTTTTTCTCGTACTATCAAAGTCACCACCCATCAGTCAGCTCCGCCTCACCTGCTGCTTCGATAACAACTCTCGCATCCGAATGCTGCACGTACCTCTTCCACAAACTCGCGCACTTGCTTTTTGAACTTATTTGAGCCAGCGCGCGCAATCTTACTTGGCACGGCTGTATGTGGTTCAGTGCTGGCTCGTTTGATAGACTTACTTGCTGCTTTTCGATCAGTTGGCGGGGATCGAAACTGCGCGAACGTTTTTGCTTGACAATCTTTTGCTGACTTTCCTGGCACGTACTGTGCTACCTGTGAATAGACGTAGTAGCGCAATGCCTCGCAATATGAGCTTGCTGACAATGCAGATCCGGTTCTCGCATTTGTAGCGCCTTACCTGCGCCCAGAAGTTCGAGGCAGTCGTTGGGATCTTCAGCTTCGCATCCATCAGAGCCTCCTGCTGTTCAGTCGTCCAAACGTCTACGTCTACTTCAGACTTTGACCCGTCGCTCCTTGTGCTCTTTTTTTCATCCTTAGCCGATACGAGAGTGGAAGTCTAACATACCAACCATGAAACAAGAGCATCAGCGCAACACGATGCGTGGCATCACGCATTTGCGTAAAACTATGCACCTTTCTCGGCTTCGCGTCACGTCGGACCGGGCTCAGGTTGTTGGTTGTCTCGATCCCTGGATCGATTTCTTCATCTACCACAGGCATCGACACACTAGATCAAAGCAGTTTGCAAGCACAATCACATCGTTAGGTCGGATACTCTCAAGCAAAAAGGATGATCGTCCGTTTGTCGTGCCTGCGCGTGTCGGCTCCAGTTGCCTTCGTTTTTACTGCTCTTGGTTTCGATCCAGCCTTGTCATATTTGGTCACACTGCGCGACTTTGGCACAAATGGAAGCAAATGCTTGTAAAAGTACGCCGGAATACCCTCACACATCAACTCCATCGCCGCGCGTGGCATGCCCGCATGTTTGGCCGCATCTCGGTCCAGTTTTCCCGACAACGCCACGTACTCACCGTCTGTAGATGTGAACTTTGTCGTTCCTTTGCGTTTTCCAACCGTGAACTGCACTAATTTGCCATTAACGCGTCCTGCCAGCACAAGCAGCGCTCTCTCGCCATCTCGTCCACCCTGTTGCTCCAGCACGGGCGGCCACTCCACACACCACCGGTCCAGCACTACCGCCTTTCGCATCACTCGAGGACATTCCTTCTGCTTTCCTTTGTGACCCACTCGTGTTTCATTTGCCACTATCGTTTCCTCCACTCCCTTCTTCTGCACCTCCTTCCTTTTCTTCTTCTCCTTCCTCATCTCTGGCGACTGAAAAAGCTTCTTCGTCACAATCACATCGTCACCTGCTTCCTCGTCGTTTTCTTCGTTTATCTCCAAGTCTTCAATCGTCTCGAGACTGCTGCGCTTCCACTTCTTCTTGTTAGCAACTGATCTCGTCACCGGCGTCCTCCATCCTGCCAGCTCCAGCGCACCTGCGCCACACCTCTTGCGCCTCTCCTTCTTTTGCTTCGTTGCACTCCGCGTTACAGCTGGAGAAGACACTGCCACTCTTTCCATCTCCTGTCGCTTTCTCTTCTTCTGTTTCTTCTTCTTCTTCTTCCGGGACACAAACAGCTTCAAGTCGGCAAACGGATCGTCTTCGTCCTCGTCTCCTCGTCTTTCTTCGCCGTTTGTCGCTCGATTTCTGTCTCCAGACACGTCCAAACGCTGCGCCGGAGCGCTAAAAGCCTTCCGCAGCCCTCGAAGGGGGCTCTCGTACGCGTCCAAGCGCCATTTCTTGCGCGGCTTTCGTGTCGAAAGCACCACGGCGTCTTCTCGACCAAGTCCCACCAGTGCGCTCTCGAGCACGGAGCTGTAGCAGTGACGACGACGCAGCGGCGCTGAGGCCCGACGCGGTAGGACCGACATGGCGATTGGCGCTCGAGGTTCACTTTTTGACTTCGCGTCACTCGTTTCTAATTGGGATCGTGTTTCAGGGGGTACGTGGGGTACACGGGCGGCCAATCGAGTATCCGAGGATGCGGTCAAAAAAGCATTATTTGTGCCACATGTATACTGCTGTCGACACCGTCTCTTGCGTCGCAGTGAACGTGGTATAAAAGCAGTTGTCTGTCGTGCATTGTATACTTCTGCTGATTCTCTCTCTCTCTCTCTCTCTCTCTCTCTCTCTCTCTCTCTCTCTCTCTCTCTCTCTCTCTCTCTCTCTCTCTCCAAGAGAGAGACTACTGTGAGCTTCCACCTACAGTAGCAGCGTCTTGTCTGCGATTGCTTCGTTTTTGTAGCCAAGGACTGCTTGCTGCAAGTCCAGCTGCCCGATGGTCCATGCTCTATCTATCAAAGCGTACACACTGAGCTATTTCCATCAGGCGAGTTGCAACAAACAAAAGTACGACGGCACAAGTCAATCCATGACATATACGGCGCTCGTAATGAGTCAGACAGGAGGAGGTCGCACGACATGGGCAATCTGCGAAGACGTCCGTGCAAGACGCACTCCGTAGGATCACAACTGTTGCTCGAAATGAAGTAAGTCGCGCGTCGTAACAGTGATACGGACTTGCTTGACAAAACGTGCGGAGTGGGAAGTCCGTAGCGCTTTGGGAGTATACGCAGCTCGCTCGCTCGCTCTAGGAGAGCTGGACTGTACTTATCGCGACACACTTTTAGATTTGTGATTCCAAGCGTCAGCTGGACGGACCCCAGCGTTCAATAGCAAGAGAGGCGCACAGGATGAGCATTGTAAAGACAGGCCACAAAAGGCTGACTATCTGAACACGGCCGTATTCTTGTCGGGGACTACGATGCGGTCGCGAGGGGGCTGGGGACATAGCTCGGCGCTGCTGGGCTGTCTACTGCTGCAGCTCGTTGGCCAGAAAACAGAGGCCGCAAGCGCCCACTACTCTCTCAACTTGACGGGCATCGCGTCGGGCACAGGTGCGTGCGTAGTGGCACTCGATATCGAACTTGGCGTAGAGGAGACCGTAAGTTGGGCGCTGTTGACACGTTTTCGATTGGCTACCAATCAGCGTACACGCTCTCAGTGAACATTGGCACGCTGGACGACTCGGGATCACAGAGTGGAAGTGTACGTCGTGCGCGAGAGGTGCTGCTTGAGGTCTGGTGATGCAGGTTAGGTTGACGAGACTTTGGTGTTGATATGGGCAGAACGCCTTCCGGTTGATTGCAGACACAGGCTCGTCGAATGACGCAGTGCTTGGATCTGAATGTTGCGGACCCAAAGCTCTGGTGACCTACTCGTGTGAGGCGTCGTCGACGTGCGCTAAAGCTGAGGGAGACGCGGTCACTTTGGCGTTTGCAGGAGCCAACATCGAGTACGAGTTTGAGCTGACGTGCGAGAGGACTTGTTGCTAACCTGTAGGTTGTGGTGTACTGCAGAGGTCAGTTCCTGACGGATACGTGGACGTCTAGTGAAATTGGCAGCATTTCCAAAACGTTCTTGGTTATTGAGGAGCAAGACACGTTCTTTCGGTCTACTTACGATGGCATAACTGGACTGGCGTACGAGGCGTTAGCTGCGTCGACGGATGAACCTGTGCCGTCGTTGTACAGCGTGCTCATGAGTACAGGCGGTACTGCAGATGGATTTGGGATGCTGCTGTGCGGCACAATGCAACCCATGTTGCAGACTGGTGGGACGACTTTCACGCATCATTCCGGTCAGTTGATGATTGGCGGCATGGAAGGCACCAGCGGAGAGGTTTATTACACTGGAGATATGCTGTACACTCCGATAACAAGGGTGTGTGTACTTGTTGACGAATGTGATGTGTTTGCGATGTGGGAGCTGACCAAGAGCTATTGCTGTCTATCTGCGTTACTGTTCATCAGGAAGCATGGTATGTCGTTCCAGTGACGGACATAGGATACAATGGCAAGAGTCTCGGGTTGCCGTGTGACAACTACAACACCCCACAGGCAATTCTCGATTCTGGCTCAAGCAATTTGGCGTTTCCGCCGAATGTGTACAACGCTCTTATGAACCAAATCAAAGCAGCAACACTGGAGGCGATCCCGGATTTTGACACCAGCTACTTTGACGCCTCTACTTCGTGCTGTGACGAGGCTTACTGCGACCCGACGTCATCGAGTGCTGCATTGTTGGAGCTGCCTTCGATTTACTTCACTCTGGGCATGGAGACGAGTGATGGGTCGAGCACGAAACACTTCACTGTCGAGATTCCACCCGAGTATTACTGGCGGCCCGAAATGAATGGCGTCAATGCGAGTTCACCCTGTCGTGCAATCGGTATTTCGGAAGGAACTTCAATTGTCCTCGGCGATGTATTTATGGACGGTTTGTACTCGTACCACGATCGCGCGGAGGGAAAGATTGGTTTGGCCGTTGCTGACAACTGCCCGAACAACGCCAAGTCGACCAAAAAAGTGTACCCGGCTGCTGACTCCGTCGACTGGTGCTCGTGCTTCTCTAGTACACTGAAAAAGAGGAGTTCGTGGAGCACGTACGTTCCATGGGGCAGCGGGTGTTTTTTCTGGCAGTGGTGGATGTACTTGGTGATCGCTAGCTTCGTCGTAGTGATCGCCTGTGTCTGCGTCTTGATTTGGTGGCAACGAACCAACAACTATATGAAGAGGCTGGAGGCAGAGACATACATAGCTGCCAGCGGGGGCGCCTGCACCACTCGCTTTCCGACAGTGCAATCATTTGAAGGAACAACGCCTGCAGATGGCTCCTCACTGACTGACTACTACGAGGCGCCCACGCCACAACCAAAGAGGAAAGGATCAGCATATTCCGCCCAGCTTGGTCCACGGCACGAGCCAATGCAGCCTCCAAGGTCTCGAGCTTCGAGATCAAAGTCTCGTCCCTTGAGAGCAAAAGCTCGTCCCTCGAGAGCAAAGTCTCGTCCCTCGAGAGCAAAGGCTCGCGCCTCACGAGCAGTGCCGATAATGGCTGAGCCCAAGCATTCCTACATGAGTTCACCGCGGTCGCCATTATCCTCGGCTTCTAGCATTGCGATCCTATCGGATGGTTCTTTTCAAAGCTCTGTGGAGAGCTTGCAACCACAGTCGAAGCCCCAGTCTCACGGCTACGGGTACAATGCGAGTCACACTTCCACGAACAGCGATCGCTGGCGTCTCTGCGAGGAAACGGCTTCGAGGCGGCTCCAAAGCGGTGTGCCCGTCCGTGAGCCAACGAGTGTGGTTCCTCCTGATTGACGTGTGTACAGAGCGGTCGAAATGGATTGGACCGAAAGCTGAGCAGGTGGACGATCCGTGCAAGGAGAAGTAGACATGTGTCCGTATGGCTACTCACTCACTGACGTGCTTTCGAGTCGGACGTTGCGTGAGTCGTACCCGATTACCGTTTCACGACCCAGTCCCGCGTGTTTGGCTTACCGCGCTGCGACGGCACGAGGTGACTGGGGCAACATTCCGACGACTTCAACAGACTCCAAGCGTTGATGTACCTGTACAAGTAATTACCGACAGTGGCAAAGCGGCACAAAGTCCCGACACTTGTTTATAAATAGACATACACATGCCCATATGTAAACAACAACAACAGCAATAGCAGCAATAGCAACCACAACAATAACAATTACAACAACGACAGCAACAACAATCACGACGACGACAACAACAAAGTGCAAATATCGTTATACAAAAGCGACTGCCTCGAGCCTTCATACAACGCGACCGCTGCCGTACTCAAGATGACAGGGGTTCGTCTCTCCATGCCGTGCTAGCAGTCCTTTTTTCCTCCAATCTGCCTCTTCGATGTTCTTCCAATAAACCAAGTCTCGCAGGCTATCGACTTCGACAGATTTATCCACCATACCCATCTCAAGTGTCGGCACGTATTCCCCATCGCGTCCTGAATCTCGTCTGCGCCGGCCCCTCTGCACGCCCGACGTCTGTAGCCAGTGCGCGCTCGCTCGCTCGTCGCACGACAACCACCACACCACACTACGATCACGTCCGCGCTCAGCAGCACCACCGCCCGCACTTTCGAACTTTCGACCGATGGCGGACCCGCGCGCGGCCGGCGGCGCCTCCACGAGCTCTGGGGACGACAACGACCTGAGTCCGAACGAGTTCGTGCAGCGCCAGATGGACAAGATGCGCAGTCTGGACGAGAGCGAGCAGACGTCGTTCCTCGAGTCGGGGCCGTCGCACCGCAGCAGCACTCATAGTGGTACGAGCGAGCTCTCGACCGACATGACAGTGTACGAGAAGTTGCAGGCGCTCGCGTTGGCGGGCAATATCAAGTTTGACGAAGCTTCGAGTTCTGGCGGGCCCCTGAACAATGAAAGCGATGCAAAAGACGGCGACGAAGGAGGAGGAGATGGAGGAGGAGGAGGAGGAGAAGAAGAAGAAGAGGAAGAGGAAGAGGAGGAAGACGATGACGATATCTACGAAGTCTCGTGGGACGGCGGTCCGCTTGGTCTGCTGTTCAAGGCGAACGCCAGTGGCCAACCAGTGATTCGACGGGTCAACAAGAAGGGAGCAGCTACAGGACTGCAATACGCACGGGCAGGAGACGTACTGGTGGCACTAAACGGCGTGAGTGTGTCAGCGACACCGTTTCGGGAAGTGATCGAGCAGCTCAAGGACCCCGAGTTCCCTGTAAAACTGGATTTCCGACCGCTGAAACTGAGTGACTTGGCATCCGCAGCGACACCCAAGTGGGGCTTACCACGCACAGGTTCATCCGTTCACAGTAGTGATGCGGCGTCAGCATTTTGCGGCTCGCCAGTGTCATCGAATGCCACAGTGGATATGCGCCATATTCGAGGAGGAGGGTGGGGCGATTCGTCGCCCATGTCTATGCAACAGGTGAACGAAGCGCCGACCGAAGACCCAACGGATGTGGAATACGATGTGGTATGGAGTGAGGGTCCACTCGGATGTGAATTGAAGCAGCGGAATGGGCAACCCACTGTAAAGTCGGTAACGGGAACAGGCGTGACCCCGTCCGTGGCTCAGATCGCAATGGGTGACATGCTTGTTAGTATCAATGGATTACGCGCCGAGGAAATCGGTTTCAAAAGCACAGTGACGCTGATGATGCGAGCGACAAAGCCTGTGTATCTGCGGTTCCGCCGGGCTGGCGCTCGCCAATCATCGTCTACGTCTGCTACAAACAGCTTCAATGATTTTATATCAAGTGATTGGGGGCCGCAGAACAATAGAGGGACTCTGCAGGATGTATCTGGACTCGGTGGCGGAGCAGCAACTTTGGACTCGAAGCAGTATACGGTGTTGTGGCGCGACGGGCCGTTAGGTATTCAGATTCGTACCTCTAGCCAGGGCCGCGTGGTCGTGGCACGGCTTACAGGTGCAGGTACCCCTAACGTCAACGATACAGTGAAGCCTGGCGATATTTTCGTGCGTGTGGCCGGGGTTGATGTTGACTCCTTGGGTATTGCTGGTGCGTTTGAAATGCTTAAAACAGTTCAAAAGCCTGTGGTACTTGTTTTCCAGCGGCGCAGTCGTGACCATGGGCGCTCGCACTCACGCGGTAGACATCCCGGCCTGCCTGCACCTGCACCGTTGCCGTCGACTTCAGCTGTGCCTTCATTTCGGCAGATGCGCGAAGAGGAAGCGGCAGCGGCTCGTCCACCAATGCTACGGGCTGGCAGTGGTGGATACAACATGGCACGACAAGGAAGCCACAGCCGCGGTGGATCGATGAGGCAACTCGGAGGTGCATACTCGCAAGAGCTAGAAACCTACTCGGCGTCCGACGACGGTACCAGCCAGCAGAGTTTCGGTCATCGTGGTGATTCGCCGCGTTCGCATGCGCCTCATCAGTATGCGGGCCTTTTTAATGTTGACGATGCCATTTCGGACGGTGGGACACTGAAGGATGCAACTTTGCCGCCTCCACCGCCATTTCCAGGCTCAAATGGCCCTGGAACAGGAGGCGTGAATGACGAAGACGATCCAGAGGAAGACATGTTTCCGCCAGATATGTCCCGGGACGAGAGTCCGTCACTCACGGGGCTGCCTCCACCGCCGTCTTACATGGACGTCTTCACGGCTTCTGGGCGTCCCCAGGCCGATATTGCGGTGGAGCCGCCTCGTAGTGTGGATCTCCACGGCATTGTGGAATTTGCATCGGGCGACGGAATGTACCCTGGTCAACTGGAACGGCCTCCTCCTTTTGAAGCTCACAGCAACGAACCCTTCCACCCTCTACCGAAATATTTAGAAGCCCCGTTGCCTCCTGCAGAAGAAACTCCGTCTCTAGTCGGCCAGCCAAGTCGGCTCCAGGAACTCCGGCGTCAGTACATTGAATCAGAGCGGCAACGCAACTTGTTGCAGAACGGTCATGCTACGATGGTGAGCACTTACTCTGATATCGATGACTCTGGACTCGTGGTGCGTCATCCAAGACAGCTTTTGGACGACAGCCTGATAGCAATTAGTGAGCCGTCTCCCCAGCTACCGCCACCGGAGCTGTGGGTTCGCTGGAGTGAAGGTCCACTTGGCATCACGTTTAAGCGTAAGAACGGGCAGATTGTGGTGTCACGACTTACTGGATCTGGTTATTCTCCAGGACTGACACAGCTTCGTCCCGGAGACTGGCTGGTGTCGTTCAGCAACCAACCCACGCAAAATCTACGACTCGGCGAAACAATGGAACTACTGAAGCGTTCGCCGAAGCCCGTCGATATGTGCTTCATTGTGCAGTAGGCGACACAGCGATTGACTGCGACATATCAGCACGGTGCTTAGCATCGTCGTGGACGTCTTGCAGCAGGGCGCATCGCTTGGGAATAGCCCAAGTGTCAGTGGCGAGCCATTGCCAAGCACCGACGAGTGGTGACAAGTGGTGTCAACGGTTGTTGCTGCGAGCGTGGAAGGTTGAGGGCGAGCCGAATTGGTCGGGGCGATTGGGCTTTCTCGCTTGTGTCGGTGTGCATGAAGCATTTGGGTTACTACCTCGAACAAATGTGAAGCGTCAGAGTGAGAGAGCACGAATTTGGGCTGGCTGATTTGTTTGTGGCGGACGATTTTGGAACGTCAAGGTCTCTTGCCCCAGAGTGCATTTACTGTTGCTGCTCCTGTGAAAAAGATTGACTTGGGGATAACGTGCAAGTCTTGCCGCGCTGAGGCTGTACGAAGCAAAGGCAGTAGATAATACTGATGTTTGGTGTTGCTATCATCCGATTCAGTGCGTTTGCTCTGTTGCTTTTCGTCGGTCCTTGACACCGGGAAGACTAGGAACAGATCGGAGAGGATTAGTCCATTCACGCGGTCGATGCTGTTGCATGGAAACTGAGCCATCACTACTCGAAGAGCGTGTTGGCCAGTGGTCTAGCTGTTGATCTCTGTCTTCATTGTTCTATGCGCTCGGCTCGAACAAATGAAAGCTTGCACGCAATACGTTTGGGACCGCCGACTCTTTTGGCGCATGTCGCCAAGCCACTCGCGATAAGCGTTGCGACCACAACAGGCTTTACATCAGGGTCACCGCATCTCAATGTCAACAAGTACGTCCAGCACAAGCGCAACAACGCGACTTGCTCCGCGCTGTCCTACTGGTAATCATAATGTTTGTCTTGTCTTGCAACAGGCCACCTACTTCCGTAGCGCATAGATCTGCGCGCTTTACAAGTAGGACGATCGCCCTTGCACGCCTGCTACAGAGTGACGCGCAATGTTTGGAATAATGATCACGCTTTTGTCTCTATCCGAGCATGAGTATGCAGCGTACTTGTCGAGTCAGTCGCGTCTAAAGCAGCCAAAGCTTGCGCTGCTTTCCAGCATTGCCATCTTGCAATGAACAGATCGGTCGATGATCTTGTTGTGTTTCAAGTCAACTTTGGTCTCTCGTAAAGCTCTTCCATCCGAACCCTCGACATCGCTTTGTCTTCTCCAACGTATGCATCATGCTGCTGTGAAGCCAAACGCTTGATGAGACCGCAAACTTTGATCATTATATCGACGCGCCAAGCTCAGTGTCAGCGTGCGTAGTTCTAGTTCCTTTGCTGTGTCCCAGTGTTGCCAGATTACTGAGCCGGCCGATGCACGGTGTGTGTAAGTTGGTAGTAAACAACGCCAAACGTTTCCCCAAAACATCGACAAACTCATACCCGTAACGCACGGTCCGAACGAGTTAGTCAGCTTGACACGATCAGTTGCATCTACAAGGTGACAAGCCTTCTTGAGAATGTACATCGTCTTATCATTCGCGCTACGAGCTCACTTGATCCTAAAGCTTGTTGACCTCAACAACATGGAGCTTGCAGCTTGTAGTACAGAGCTTTATCCCGCCTGAGTCATGGAGGAACGCTCAGCCTCCCCTACTAGTCCGCCTGGGCATATTGCGTCTACTACGTTGCTATGGAATATCGTCCATTGGAGATGTCCCAAGATGCCTCGATTTACCTCATCTTGTCGTCATCAGACGTTGCAATGCTGGGCCGGTGTTTCACACTGCCAGTACAACTAAACAGTGGAGATGATCATGAATATCGCGACGGACGACAGTGAAATGATTGCAGTACAATGCTGTAGTGCATATTCAGTACACGCCTCTGTGCAGGCTTCTTTGTGTTTGCTTTCGGACTGAAATGTCTGTGATATCGTCGAGGCCATTCACACGCATGAGTAATGCTAGCAAACGTAGCACAGAGATGGTCGACGCAACGTCATATACCAACTTCGATCTGGAACGTAACATAGTCACGAAGCCAAGCGTCTGCTACATGACAATAGACCGAGAGAGCACGGATTAAAGAAAACGCGTACTGCATTTCGGGCGAAGAAGAGGTAGCGTCTTCCGAGAAGCAAGAAGCGTGCAGAAGCAAGAAGCGTGCAGAAGCACGGACAAGGGCAGCCAGACGTTTTATTTAGCCGATCGTCAGCTCACGATACGATATTGGAACGAACGACTGACTGCTTTGCAATACTCACCAGAACATGACAGATGTGATATAACATAACGATCAGTCGCACGGAAGAGCGCATGATAGACAACCGACAAAGTGTCGTAGAATGACGAGCAGATCTCACGAAGGTACTCTCCGGTGCATACTGTAGGAAGTGAAGTTGTTCGAAATTGGATGTAGCAAAGTGGATAGTGACAGCTATTGCAAGACACAATTCAGCGACAACGTCGTAGACTAGATGGTCTCGAACTGACAAAGTTCGGACGGGTAGGTTGAATATGACGACAATTTACGTTTAAATGCGCGACACACTCGAAAGCTTCCTGGGCAATCTTGGATACCCAAACAGCTTTCATTTTGGACTTTATTCGAGGACGAGAGTTTCACCAAGATAGTTCTCCTAGACAGCGTGCAGTATGGCCGATGTAGGTCGGCACATTGGACTGTCGGCGATGTAAGACTAGGAATACCATTGTGGATGTCGGCTCCAAAGCGTAGCCACGTTATTTGCCTAACAGGCACGTTCTGGTAAAGAGGGACGAGCTTACCTTGATCTTATTCCGCCTACGAAGTGACCTAAAACTGGGCGTGTATCTCCCCCGCCAGACCCTGGACATCGTGTCTTGCGCTCGCATAGGGGCACCTGAGGTAATGGCTATGAAATACGGGCCGCGTCATACGTGCCGATACTCCAACACGATAGGTGTGCAAGAATAAGGATTTGGAGCAAGTCGCATGCACTCAAGTGTAACGGGGCGATGACACCTACAATTATGTGACAGTGTGCGAACGACTCAACTCGAAACCCACGGACACAGTCACTGCGACGGAAGCGCTCAAAGCAAGTGAATGAGATGCGTTGAGGTACAACTGGAAATCCTATTGGATACCAAAGTATTCCTAAAGCAAAGATATGTGATACACAAGTGGGCTACCTAACATTGCCACGCACCTACCACGTGCCTCTTCCATATCAAACAGGTCCTGTTAAAAACGTGACCACGCAGCCACCACATCCCTTTCCCAAAACAATTGCATATCGCAGTCAAATCGTGGTTTTGTATCCGTCCTTGACTCCGCAGCTCCTGTTGCGAACCCCGGATCTAACAGAGGCCAAAATGACTGACCCTGGTTGGTCTCTCGCAACTCCTCACTCAGCAGGAACCTGCAACAATAATGGTGGTGCGAAGAAAACTGCTCGCGTCCATGTATGAGAGAACAGACGTGCTGTTGCCACAATAAGGGTCGATCGAATGAAGATGTCTACCTGATTCCATAAGGGAGTAGATGCACTTTGTCCAGGGAAAAGAAACTCTTGTTCAGTCGTCTCAGGGACAGTATCGTAGACGTAGGTCAACCGACAGCGTGGAATGCTCCTACATGCTGACGCGCCTGAAGAACTAAGACATAGAGCATACACTCCACCAAAAATGTCCACGAGTTACATCCATGCAGATGGTAGAGGGGAAGTAGGTTAGACTGATCGCTCAAGAATGGCTATGGAGACCAAGCGTTCCCATTGCATACCTTGCGAGTTACAAGAGAACGGTGACCACAATCGAGACATGCAATACTGCTTTGTAGATACCATGATCGGGATTCGAGCATGAGTTGGTGATGCTGAACCGGCTGTTACAACATCCCGTCCCGCACAAGGTTGCGACACTCAAGAGACCACGTATGGTGGTGAAGAGATCTCATGTTCAGGTGGCCAGGCTGAGAACCTGGTTTGTAACCACAAGAATCTGCAAAATGTGTTTGAATGTGCTCAGATAGGTTATCGCCTAAAGAAAGTCGTGCTGGTTGCACGGATGAGCATCTCCCAACGTAAGACTAGTACGATGGACTCGAAGCATGTGTGGTATCTCGATACTGTGTGCGTTTCGTAAGTGACGCGTCAAACGTAAAGGTTCGGTGTTCTCGGGAAATAGATAACGGATGTCTTCGTCAGTTTTTACAATATTATATAAATTTGCCGTGCACGGTACAACGATATCTTCGTCTTTATTTACTAGATCGTTCGCTCTTCCAGTTGTTACCGTTCCGTTTCTGTCCACCGTCTCCGCAATAAAGTACGAAACGAAACGGACCGCTACTTTTCGACTAAGTCTAAATTCCCTACTGATTCACTAATTGTGGCAGCTGCGCGATGATGTTGCATTAACGATATACCCCGGTTTCTTCAGCAAGAAAGTCATCGTTTTCACTGGTAACATCTTCGACATTATCCTACTTCTACGGACCGTTGTCGATGAGAGCTTCATCGGAGCTTCATTCTTCTTCTTCAATGACTTTGTCGTGATTAGCGTCGATACCGAACTCGTCCTCGACTTGTGATAAACGAGAGACAGACCAATTCTTGCTCAGAAGAGTCTACTTCATTTAATCTAGTGCACTCCAACCATGTTGGGAATACGCGGATGTCGACATCCATTCACATGGAAACCACCCATGTTCGGCGGACGCATCATTAAGTTGTGGATGATGCGATCCTCCATCGTTTTCATCGTCATTTAAAGTGGCGGGAAATAGAAGTTTACGTCAAATACAAGTTAAGCCTATCACACCCATGATGTGCGGTGACTGTTAGATCATTCCACACCTATACGCTCCACGAGTGCAGGTCGTCACGTGAGAAAGAGACGACATATTCTTTGTCGCCGGATACGGTTGTGAACAACAGTATATCGTGACGTGTTAAGTATTGACCCGATAGAGGCCTGTAGCAACTAAAAAGCGTTTTATACCTTGATGGTATGGATTATGGTATACAATTCATCGATCTCATGCGAAAGTTAC